TCACTCAAAATATTTATTTTCGACTTTTATGCTGAGTGACAAAAAATTGATCATGAGATTGGTCTGAGCCCAAGAAGGATTACAATTCTTGCATGCTTTATGATAGTTCTTGACTGTGTTATTTTTTGTAACCATAATAAAAAATATTATATTAAATTAATTACCGGCAAATTCATTGTTTTATTCATTTCAAAATATTTTTAAATTAAAAAGAATAATATGAAAATTTTAAACTATTATTTAATTGAAATTTTTTAAATATTTAATTAATGTAACGTTAATGTTAGAAAATTTATTGAGAAATAATACATTTCATTTGTTAAAATTTTGAAAAAAATAATACAAAATTCTTTTCACGCTATAATACAAAAATAAAAATGCAATTGATGAAAACTATTAAATAATTATCAAATTAATACAATTTTTGGCTCATAAAAATTTCTATACTTTTAAAGCATAAATAAAGAATTAAATAATTTTATTAAAAAAGATTTAAAAAAGATTTTTGTAATTTATATGAAAAAATATTTTATTATCTTAATTTTATCAGGTCGACTTTTATTTCGTCATTATTTTAAAGGTTTTTTAATATATATTTTCATATTATCATCACTAAGCTAAAAATTAATTAAAATTAATTTTAATAATCAAATATTATATTTAGAGCATATTTTTATATTATCTAAAGCTGAACGTTATTCTCCTTTAGCTAATGAAAAATGTTAGTTCGGATTCTGTGAGCTAATCAGCCTCGCCTCCCCTTCATAGATATTTAGAATGATTTGTACTTATCGGTTAAAAAACTGAGTGTCAGACAAATTTATCGGCCTTATCTTTTTGATGCTTGATCCAATATAAATATATCTTATATCATTCGAAAGCCCTCATTGATTTCCTGTTATTCATTGCTTCCGGAAATTCCATCAGTGGACAATGACCATGGAAAATATCCCTTAGCGACAAATCCGAAATCATAACCCTACCAAACCTAACATCGATGTTTGAAAGATAATCAAGAAGTCCTAAGATTTGTTGGGATTGGATGGATATAGGAAAATTTAGATAAAGTAAGTGAATGTAGATGGATATAGAGAAATATACAAGATTTCATTGGATTAAATTTGCCTGATTAAAGGCAAGAGTAACGTAGGATTTGGATGAATGTCGCGGGATTAAAGGGAATTAATGGTGGATTCTTTTAACTTCGAGAACCTATTTCTACATCATCTTTTACAATCCTTTCCATCAACTTTAATAGATTATTCTATTCAAATCTCAAATTCCAATTTTTTAGTTATTCTCAAGTCAATTTTCGAAAGTATATTTTTTTGCATATAATATTAATGATTATTTTTACTTTATTTATTTTATTCCTGTTACTTTCAACAATAATTTCAAACTCTGAATGGCAAGTTACTGGAAAGCTTCAAGATTTCATTGGATTACCATCACCTATCATTGATATTAAAATAATTTTGTATGTTTTAGAGTTTAGTTCAATTATAGTACATATAATTGTTGGATTATTAGCTAAATATAAAGCAGGTATCATTTGTCTTTCTAAAGGTAAATTTCTTTTAATTCAAAAGATTTGGCAGACGAAAAAATGCGAAAATTATTTCTATCACTTTCTTTAATCATCCTTATAAACATTGGAGGATATTTTTTCTATATGATTATTATGCTCGTTGTTGTTAATTATTTTTACATGTTCCCAGTATTTATATGGTTTTTAAGTAGTTATCTTTCCATAATTCTTAATTTATGTGCTGCTATCAACGTTCCAATACTTTATGTAAATAGGTATCATTTGATTTAAAATATTAAATAATATTTATTGAAACTGATTGTTTTCATTGAGTTGGGTCCACTTAATATGATAGTTTTTTAAAAAATTATATGACCATGAACGAATCTAAACAGAAAAATTTTATTTAAAAATATACTATGAGATTATCGAAACTAATTTATATTACTCTTGTATTAGCATTTTATTAGTTTTTTCTGTGTAGCTGATAGTAATCGTTGGCTCCTACATGTTTATTTTTAGAAAAAGCAAATCTGATTTGTAGTAGCTTTCAAGATAAAAGCTGCAAAATAACAAATTTTTAAACTAGAAAACTAAAAAACCTAAAAATGCACAAAGGGCACATTATTTATTTGATAACCCATTATATGCATAACTACCAAAAATTATTTAAATCTGATAAATTCTGTCAAAGAAACCTTTGTATATCTACAAATTAAATTAGCATATTATTTTTAAAATATTTTATTAAGTTCTGACTATGAAGCAGCATATAAAAAAGAATATGATAAAATAAAATCAGCATTATTCAAATTTAAAAATTTAATTTCAAATCAAAACGAAATTTTTAACACACCAGTTTTGGCTATTCATAGAATCAATAACTGACTTTCAAAATAAATTAACTACTTATATTAACGATGGAATTAAAAAATTAATTAAAATGATGATCTAAACTAGATTACTAATTAAATGGATATTGTAAATTTTGGAATAGTAACTGATAAAATTGTATAGTTATAATTGTACGACAGTCACTATTTTCAACCCTCTAGTGTAGGACGGTGTTAATTGAATTTAATTTAATTTTACTTTTCTAATTTAATTTTACTTTTTTCTAGTTAACACTTTCTGTTTTTGGGGATTACGCTCTAATTCATTTCTATTTTTGATAAAGATTTTTAAAAATTCGAGCTTTTTTAAATTAATCCCCTGTTTCTGAAAAAATACATTTGCATCTAACTTTAAATAATAATTTTCATTGATTTTTATTTTATTATTTTTGCATTTAATTTTATTTTCTAAAAAGAAATAAAAATTAATAAAAAAATATTTTATGAAAACAATTTTTTCAATTAAATTAAAACACAAGCATTCTCGTTATTTTTAGCCAAAAAACGGAAATTACTATTTCATTATTATTCAATTCAAGTACGAATAATAAAAATTAATTTTTATTATTTAAATTAATAGAAAAATATCCATCGTGATTTATGGCAAAATATACATATAAATATTATTTTAAGCTAAACAAATTATGTATATTAATATCGGAAATAGTTTTAGGTCGATAAATAAAATTCGAGGAATAATATATATTTTATTTATGATTAGTGATAAGTATCGGACCTGATCCAGTCGGACTTTTCCGTAGTACGTTCACCAGATTGTGTTTTTTCAGGCAGGATTAATACAGAAAAATAATCCGATATCCAACCTCAGAAAAATGAATTTAAAGCATGCTAGTTATAATATTTAAATTATATAATTTTCTAGTTTAAATTTTGAAAATTTCCGTTGCGAGTTATTTGATAAATATATTTATGGGATCTTGAAAAAGTTAGGTCAGGACGAAAGATGGCTTTTCCAATGTCTTGTTGTTATTTTCGGCGTCTCATTAGACTTCGGACTGCGTAATCTACTAAGTCCTCTTAAAAGGTTTTTAAATTAAACCTAACAGGACTTTCTTCATATATTCGGCAATGCTATTATGAATGAGGTTGCCAAAGATTATTTAACGAGAATCGAGATTGAATCTCGATAAATAAACAAAGTTTATAAAGTTTTTTTTCTGTATTTTTTTTCCGCTCTTTGAATAATTTTTTGGATTAATGAATTATTTTATGGATGGGTTTGCCAAAACAAAATAAGGTTTGCACGTGCTATTATCATGCTAACTTTGTGTATTTACAATTTACACCAGTTTTGGCTGTTCAAAGAATTAATTACTAACATTTAAAGTAAATTAAGTTAACTATTAACGATGAAATTGAAAAAATTAATTAATATAATGAACATTTCTTTTTATTTGTTAAAAATTTTATCATTTATTTACTGCATGCTTAAATAAAAATATTGTTTTAACGGGAGAAATAAATTTTTCATTTAATTTGTTTGTTAAAACTACATGTTTAATAAAGGAATTATTTTGTGTTCTCCGAACAAATTAATGTTGTAATGTAATAAAATAAATTGAAATTAAAAATTTTTTTTAAATATTTTATTTTTAAACTTTTTGCTTTTTTTCTGGTTATTCTCAATTTTAAATTAATAATTTAATTGTATCTTGTAGAATTATAATATATCCTCGAATCTCAATAAACCTTCAATATCCGAAAACCTTTGATTCCCTACGTTTTTTATGGTTCGTAATTCAGATTTACTGTAAACATGAATTGAATAAAATTTAGGAAACCAGAAATTGTGAATGCATTTTTAACTATGCATGCATGGTCCCTGATACACACCATTTCTTTTAAAACTAGGGTGATGAATTTTATTGGGTAACCGAGATCATTAACCTGACCAAGTTGAAATTTTTATATAAATACTACATATATAAAAATTTCAAATGAATTGAACAATTTGAATCTTAAAAATCAGAAAACATAGCTAAGAAACTACTTAACGCGCCATATTAGTTTCAATTTTAAAATTATATGTATTTATTTATTTATTTTATTTAAATACATTATACGAGTAAATTTTGTAATTTCCTTAAACAAAATTCTAAATTTTTTTTAACAAACATTCGTTTTTAAACATTTTGTAGTTTATATTTTCTTTAAATTTTTCGCAAAAAAAATTCTTAAATTATAATATATTTTATTTGATAAATTTGTAATAACCCAATTATTTCTTTGCTTTATTTTTTGCAGAAAGGAAGAAAAAGTGTGCATTCTAGGGTTTCGCCGGAAGTTCCGGTTCCGGTTCCGGGTTCCGGAAGTTCCGGTGTTTTTTTGGTTCCGGTTCCGGTTCCGGGAACCGTTTTTGAAAATTTATTTTGATATCGGCACCGATTTAACCATAATTAAAACATAATAATATAGATGGTATAACCATAATATAGACAAGTAATATTATTTTAAGATCCGTCTTCTGATCGAAGCAGTTTCTCTGTATAAAAAATCTAATATTGACGTTGTAGCTTTTAGTATGGGATCACCTATGGCAAGAAAAGTAATTATAAAATATGAACAGACAAAATATTATTAAATTTCCTTTAAATAAAAAGGCAATACTTGGTGGAATCTGTGTTGATACTGGACAATATTTAGGACTACCATTAACTAATTTAGTCCATACATTTATTGGAGTTGCTGGTGCTAATAGAGATGCAGAGCCTTTATGTAAATTATTAGCTTGGACAGAACCTTGTAATCAAATAAATGGTATTTCTTGTAATTCTGCATTTCTGAGAGATATCAATTCAGTGTAAATATTTAAATTATTATATGTATGTTTAAGGTAAATTGATAATTCCTATTTTCATATCCGATATTTTAAGAAATTTTTTGATAGCAAGAAATAAAAATATGATAAATTAAATATAAAAAAATATTTAGTGTAGGTTATGAAGCCTTTTCAAGAATTTCGGTAATTCGTTCAATATATGATACAATTGTTGGTAACATTGCATGTGACGGACAGTCTGTAAGTTCAATTAATGGACAAAATGATGAAATTGTGGTTAATATTATATAATTAAAAAAATATTTTTTAATTAATTAATTTAGTTGAAGAATTACTCTCATCCAATGATAATTTATGCAACTCAGGATATCATTTATAGAATAGTTCAAGGATTGAAGAATTAGATTTTAAATTAAAAATTGTGTCTCATGCATAAAATGATCTCAATTATATATGAAAATCTTTTATTTAATTAGTCTTGAATTTTATTTAAAAAAAAGCAATTCAAATTAATTTGTAACTTTGACAATCACTTGTATATTGTTCGATCCTTCTAATTATAAATAAATCTTCGCGTGGAGTATAGGATATCCTTAAATTTTTGGTTATGATCTTCTTGATTATGAAGAATTTCCTTTAAATCCATGGCTAAACCTTCCATGAGCATTTACCTAGCTAGATCTTGTGCCAAGTTTCAGTGTATTATCCCCAAATTTAATGCCCAGGTTAATTTCGAAAATTTTAAAAATAATGTCTAAATTTTATTTTTAGAAAAAATTTTCCCATACATATTTTTTATTCACAAAAAAATATTTTTTGAAATAAAATAAATATTCCCATAGTTTTTCTTCATTTATACCCTTATAAAATAATTTTCGGTGAAAACGTTGAGAAAAACATAATAATAAACATATAAAATGACCTTGCTAAATTAATTTTTTCATTTATTATTCACATGCTTATTGCTTTAAAATGACTTTAAAATTGTATTTTGGCCTGATAATTAAAAATAAATAAATATTTAAATAATTTTGTTTATATATTAATTTTTATTAGAGACTGGATCGAGACGAGATCCCAAATAAAAATCTCAGTTTTGTAAATCAATATTTTTTGAGATATCGTGTAAAATTTGTCGCGTTTTGTCAGGATCGTTAATATTAAATTTTATTAATTCTGCTTTATATCTTCGTGGGCGATAAAACTCAGTTTTCTGCCTGCGGTGCTAAAAAATTGGGAGTATTAGGTATCCAAAAATTACTCATCTCTACTGAGTCTGCAAAGTTGAGCCAACTTAAATTTTTAAACTTTTCGGATATATTCTGTACACTTCTTGCCCAGTCTCTATTCAATACTTACATATCTGAAATTAAATTAGAAAAATTTAACAATTTTAGATATTTTGACATTTTAAATAATTTAAGCAGAAAAAAATAAGATAAATGTTGGTTTCAATTATTTTCTTTCATTTAGTATTATTTCAATTCATTTTTATAGAAGCAATACCAAATCCTCTAAGTTGTAAGTCTATAATTATTAATTTGAGGGAGAGAGATAAAGAAATTAAGCGATTCACTACCTTTGTCTAGTGAAAAAAAATTTTCACTCCAAACTTGTGCCGTGTCCGATTGTCTGTTCAGAGGTTAGTTTTTTCGAATAGCAATTATTTCTGAAATTGAACGTGGCCGTGAATCGCTACACGATGGCTCGCTTCGTTCGCATCAACAATAGAGAACCTACGAGAACCTACGAAAATCCAGCAAGCGTATCTTTCTGGGAAATTTTTACTGAAAAATAAGATTCTGCTTTCTTATAGCAATTTCAAGACCTTTAGTCATTTATCCTTTGTTCGAGTTCATGGCATTAGAAACAGCCTGATTTGGAGGTTCCCCCTCAGCTATTATAATTAATTAATAATTAATTTTTTAATTTAAGATTTTAAACTTGCCTATTATGAATGGCGCTTTTTTCGTTTTCCAATGCAAAGCGAATACTATGCTTTAAATATTCTTGAGAGTCATTATGCAAATTTATTGAATAATCAGTCAACAGATATTTTTAAATTGAAATTACAAATAGCAATTATTTCGCATACCTATATGTTAAATAATGTTAAAAGGAATTTAAATAATTTGGAGGAAAAAACTGGGTAATACATATTTTAATGAAACTTGAGAAATTTGGCATTAAAGACAGCTTTTGTCGGTGAACCGACTTTACCGACTATTGGCACCCTGTTATTCTTGTATTTACTCTTCTGCTTACGATTCTATTTTTTGTGTTAACTATAACTTGATTAAAAGTAAATATTAGAAGTTCTGATTAGTGCTTAGATGCTCCTACCAAAATTCTGGCTTTTACCTCGTACCATGCAATTGGACTAGATACTTGTACGAGAACGTTAAAAAGTGAATTATTTTGTACGAGTATGAGGCCAAAAAGGTACGAAATACGATTATCTCTAAGCGCTGGTTATAATTATAAAAGATTTGTAATTTTCTTTCGAAATTTTTATGTTTTTAGTATTTTTTAAATATCGGATTAGTATCGGATCCCTTGTACAGGACTTTTTCCCATTGTTCTCGTTTTGAGTTATCAGTACGAATACTAATTTTGGTACAAGCATAAAAGAGTGTGAGTAAGAAAAATTTTCAGTTTTTTTTCTAACTTGATACAAATTTAATTTTTTCCATTTAGACTAGCTGATTTAAGCAAAATGTCATATACATACGCCCATTCACAACTTGAAGGTATTTGTAATCTGTTAAAACAAAAACAAATATTATCAAATAAATATTTTGAAGAAATAAATAAAATAAAAAGAAAAATAAATAAAAAAGAAAATTTAATAGAATGTACTAATCAAAATAAAATTGAAAAAAAAATTGAAAATTGGGAAGAGTCCATTCAGGAAACAAATTTTATTGTTTTTGTTCAATATTTTTTAAAAAAAAGAAGGGATTTTTATTTAAAAATGGGGTAAATTAATTATAAGAGTTTTTAAAATTTGCTTTAATGATGTAAATCATATAGCTATATAATTCCAGTAGGCGGTGTGGATGACACATCAGTCCGGTTTACTGACGATACTTGCTGCTTTGTACCCAAATCCCACGATAATCAGACCAAACCCCGCTTAATCCCTTGATATCCATCAGTAAAGCAGCTGGGCTATAGCTATTTCTCTCCTTTAGCTAGTGCAAAAGGTTATTCGGCGGCTGGGAGCGAACCAGCATCTTCAGTAGACCGGACTGATGTGTTAGCCATTACACCACGCCGCCTACTGCTCAGCCTTAGGAAATTAATAGCTATATGCTTTACACATCTCATTCTTCTGTTATCTCTCGATATCCCCTTAAAATAACAAATCCCCGAAATAATATTATCCATTGCTTTTCCACCCGGAGCCAACAAGGATCGTGGGCGATTTTAAGAAATTTCGGCCGATTAAGAGAGATATAGTCGGATTAACGAAAATAGATGGGATTTGGATGTACCTGTGAGTTGGAAATTAATTGGGATTGGAAATAATTTGGATTTGGACTTGATATACCTATTTAATATTTTAATTAAAGTAAACAAAATGATCCTAAAAGAGCAATTTGTATTTTTATACAATTATTTGGTTTGGCTAGAACTGTAATGATCACTCAAAAATATACTCTTTTCTTTGGAAACAGTATTGGTCATTTATTTTTAAATAAAAATTAATTCTGAAAATTTTTTTCAGACGAAAGTAATATTTTAGTTGAATTATTTAATGGATATTTTGACGAAAAGACTAAAATTGTAGATAAATGGAGAATAAAATTAACAATAGATTATTTTTTATATAAAGAATGGTTTTACAAAATTAATCAAATATGTAAAAAAATTATTTTTTAAATTAATAATTAAAAACTATTTTAATTACAGATGAAGAAAAATTAAAGGAAATTAAGTTAAACATTGATAAAATATTTGAATTTTATTGGGAAGGAGATTATTTTTTGAAAGAATTTATTTTAAAATTAAATGATCCTCCGAAAGATATATTTTTGGTTCAATTTCAGGTATAATATTAATAAATATAAAGTAGAATTATTACATTAAAATAATTTAAGGAAATATTTTTGGACACAAAATTATATGCACAAAAAAGTATTAATTCACCAACAATAGTACAAGCTATAAAATTTTGTATTGAAGAAATGTTTAGAGAATTAAAATTAATAAATAAAAATATTTGGCTAGAATGTGTTGAAATAAAATTAAAAAATCAAAAATTATTTGGAAAAATGATTGACGACCAAAAGCAAATTTATAGAGAAAAAATTGTAGAATATTTTCTAAATAAGAATGGTGAAGTAGCTAAAGACGATTTTGAGCATTTGACAAATAAAATTAAAGAAATTGAAGGTAATTAATTAATTAATTAATCTCACTAGAGAGACGATAAAAGTATATTGGCATCAAACTTGATTTTAAATACTCCTTTGAAGCCGATAAATTTATAGAGATAAAAAAAGAGCTTATTTATATCCGAAACCCAGACTTTTTTCAGATATGAAACCTGACTCAAAATTTTCTCAAATTGACCTGCTAAGGAGAAAAGCCTATCTAATTTCAAGGGTATTTAAATTTAAGGCCCGACTGTAATAAAAATATTTTCTTTAGAATTTTTCGATCATGCTTATTTCCTAAAGTAAATATATAAATATTTATTTTCTAGAAAATTAAAAAATTAAAACCAGTAATTTTTATTAAACAGGTAAAGAATTTAACGATTTTCTTGGAATCTCCAAAAGTAAATTTTATCAAATAGCTAAACAAAGTAAAGAGCCTTTAATTAAAGAAACAATAACAAAAGAGAGTGTAAGCTTTAATAAATAAAATACAATTTAGGATTTTCAAAAGAAATTTTTATAGAATTTTCATTAAACCAGGGAGCCAAGAGGTAATATTTTCAGGAAAAATATTACCTCTTGTTTAGTTATAGTTTTGAATTTTGGATCTAGAAAAGACTGAGTTTGTAATATCGGATACGAAGTGTGAGGATTAAACTCAAGATTAAAAATAGAACTTGAGTTATCGGTAAACTAATACTGTGTATAATATTATAAATGTGTGTATTATAATTAGGGATGGGATTTATATGGACTATCAATCGAAAAATATGGACATATAATATGGACTAAAAATCTCAAAATATGGACTGAAATATGAACTAAAATCCAAAATATGGATCAAATATTGATCGAAAACTGGAAATTTTTAAGGGAAAAATTTTCATTTTTAAGCAGAAAATGTTAATTAAGTTAATTTTGGGTCAATTTATTACAAATAAACCAATTAATAGTGATTATTTTGTTTCTAAAAATATTTTGGATAATATTTGAGTCGAAAATTTTTTGAAAAATTTTTG